ACGTGAACCGTTAGCCTTAACGGTGCAGATGTGCTCAGAATCTGGACCAGATCAATAAAACAAAGACTGTTTGAATCATGTGTGTTTATAAGGCAGAAAACAGGAACATGACAAAGTGTTCCTCAGCTACATACAGCATGATAGAGAACCTGAAAGACATGTTCCCTATATTTAGTTAATATGATGGAGGTTAGGGAACGTTCATTAGAGTAAAACTGTGGAACATTATGACCTGACATGGTGGATGGTCTGAAAGCCTCCAGATGACCAGAGGGGGGCGCTGTTGCTCCAGTTTACCAGATTCTGCTGAGGCCTCCTCAGAGTTAGCTTCTGAGAAGGAAGCTGAGATGTTCCAGTGAAGTGTGTCATTGTGTTTATTTGCACTTAGGTGAGAAAAAAAAAGGTCAAAACTTTAATGCAAAGCAGATTTTACAATATATTTACAACATACCTACTGAACTATGAGAATCCCCGTTTGGTTGGTTTAGTTCGTTTATTCAGCAGTTTTCCCTTCAGGTGTTAGTTTTGAGTTTTTCTTAGGTTATTGTAGTTTTGCCCCCTTTGTGATTTAAGTTTGAGTTTCCCTCGTTCTGTGTTTCCTCTCAGTTTAACTTCCTCCCTTTATTTAGTTTTCTTTCTTCTGTCACTTAAATTCTTTTGATAAGTTCACCTGTCTGTGTCTGTGTCTGCACCTGGGTTGTCAGATCGTTAATCATTCACTGATCTATAATAAAATGGAAGGCTGCATGCTTATCAATAGCTGACAGCTGCTCTGTGTAGATTCATCTTGTGTCTGTCACACCCAGTTAATTACTGTGGACGCTCCCCATAGACAAGCATCCTGGATCACCACTAAAACATTCAGTTTCTAGATTTCATTTCTCATAAATAAACATATGAATAAATAACATCGAACATTTTGCTGTGAGTACGATAAATATCTTCCTATAAGGTTTACCCGTATCCTTATGTAGCAATTACAATAAAGTGCAGTTTTTAACATTATTTTAAACAACAAAGATTTAAACATTAAAAATATTCAAGTTCTGACGAGAAACTTCTAACAAAACATTAACTTTTCTTCTTTCCACACAAGCTGCACAACATTTACAGAATATGGACAAAGTGAGAACAACATGTTTCCTGGTTGGACTTCAATCAGGGATGTTCCAGCAAAGATCTCCAGCGTTTATTCTCCTGCACCAGGACACATGCAGTATTCAGTGTTTCCTCGGTTCCAGTCTCTCTTCAGTTTGTATTTGTTGATTCTCGTCCGGCGTCGTGGAGCTCAGACCTCCACAGACACTTCCTCCACTGATGCATCACTGCTGAAGCTGCATCGACACAGCGGGCAGCGACCAAACTGCTGGGAGACTTTGGTGCAGCAGCTGTTACACAAACACTGGTGGCCACAGCGCAGCACGACTGTGGCCTTTCTCACCATGCAGACCACACAGCCTGTACCTAAGACCAGAGGAGAGAATCGCCATGACAACACGGACAAAGACCAGCAGTCTTAATTCAACAGCTCACACAGTATTGGACTCTTTCATACCTGCTGGGAATTCCATGTCGAGACAGAAGATGTCAGCGCTCGGACTGAGGCTGGAAACATCAGGGGAGGTGGTGGCTTCAGGAGCAGGACAGGATCTTCTCGTGCAAAGTCCTTTTTTCTCTGAGCCTGCAGCAGCGAGTAAAAGAGGCATCATGACAGGTTGTCTGTTGATCCTCGTCATTCAAACAGTTGGTATTGTCAGTGCCTGTGAAACCTTCTGCCAACAAGAAAAACGTGTTGCAGAACAAACAAAACTGTGGCTATCGTAAACGTACCCAGGAGGAAAACGGAGCAGGTCTGTCCATAGATGTCCATCATGGCCCACAGTGGCTGGCTCAGGTCCACTCCTGTCAGCAGCTTGTACTGACGGCTGTTGCCTGAGGCGTATATGCTGCCACCTGAAGAAACCCAGAACTCCAGCTCTGAACCTGCTGGACATAAGAGCTGTGGGACAGGAGCAGCCCAGTGTCCAGGGCTGCTGCTGAGGTTGGGGCAGGCCATGCTGGGCAGAGGCAGAGACCTGGATGAGGGCGACACGTTGGTGAAGCCAACACGCAGAGCTCCGCTCCACCTGAACGAATCGCTCTCCACCCTGAGACGAATCCTCTCCTGGATCTTGACCGTCCGGCTGCTGAACACCAGGCCGTCCCTGAACGAGTTCCCGGTCCTCTCGGCCCGTCGAGCCCCCTGACTCAGGCGGACCAGGTCTCCCACAGCCTGTCTGTGGAAGGTCAGAGGGCCGAGGCAGAGCGGGCCACACCGGTGTGTCATCTCTGACGCAGCAAATGCAAAGATTCAGAAACAGTCATGAATCTGCATCTGTAAGCAGTTGATTACGCCGCGTGAAGCCTTTTACAGTCAGATTGTGCAGATGTCGTCTGTTGTGCAGGCAGCATCTGCACAACTATGTCAGCAGACAATCACAACAACAACAAGAACAACAACAACACGCTGTGGTCCGAGATCTCAATGAATTTAAAATTCCAGTAGAGAGTCTTTATTCATGACATAGTGGAATGTGCTGAGAACTAAATAACATAAACATGAGCAATGTAAATCAAAATGAATATCCCATGGAGGTCTGGATTTGGAATCGAACTCAAAATAAAAGATAGACAGATATACGTTTATTTTACATTATAACACCATTTTAAAAAAAATAAAAAATTAAAATTGTGAACACATTGTCTAAGCTGTGATTCTGGTGGCACTAGTTCATTATGTGGCTACACCGATAAAGTTTATTCAGATAAAGATTTTATAAGTATAGGAGTATATAAACTTCGTTCATAGGTCAACAATCAAAGTGAAGGAGTTGTGTGTGTGACTAACTGTGTCTCCTCATAAATGACCAGCTGAGGATTGACAGTAAAACACATGGTTTCTGGGTTTGTTCTTATCTCACAGCAGAGTCTCCTCATTTCACAACGATCACCTGTTTTGCAGCTCTTTATTGCTGCTTTGCTTCTCTTTTATCACCTCTTAAGGCTTTTAACAGTGACCTCTTCTTTAATTTACACACTGCTGACGTGCTGCAGTGTTGTGAAGAGTTGAAAATAAAATCAAGATTTCTAATGATTTAGTTTAATAAAAACACACAAACAGCTACTTTATGTTGTTCTATGAAACCTAAAGCCTGGTTTACATTTACATTGAACATACTGATATTTAACTTAACATCACACATCAAGTTCACCTCAAAAGAGCAACAATAAATATCTCACCAGAGTCTGAGTTGTCGCCGTCCTTCTCCATCTTGAAGAGTGAGAGAGTAAATACTTTGACGTCCTGACAGAACATGAGCTCACGTCTGTATCGTCTGTAGCGGGAGTGTCTTCTGGCTGCACGTGTGGTTTCTAAACACAACCTGGATCACTTGAATAAGGGAAAGAGGAGCGGCCAAGGGAGGAACCACACTCTGGAAACGTACCTGCTGCCAGCTTAGTGCTCACACTTCTGTTTAATAAATACGTTTTCTGTTTAGAGCAGAATCACAGACATAAAACTAGAATGTGAGGCCTTGAATTGTTTTTTTTTTTCATTTCACTTCCATTATTTCTTATTGTCCTGTGATTGTGTTTCATGCTGAAAGATAAAGATCACAGAAAACATTTGTGTATGTTTCTTTTTTTCTCTGAGGATCTTTGTTGAACTTTGACGCTGCACAGTCACCAGATTTTATTTTTCCTTTCAGCTGAAGTGGCTCTAATATTGAAATATAATCTACATTCCCATCTCGCCAGTGACCCCAAACATTTTACCAGAGCAGCAGAACAATAGCTATGAAATGCAGTCTTTCAGTTATGCACGTATCAGATCAGTGACATCATCTGATTCATGCATTCACATTATTAAAAATACCAACAAATTATTGCAGGACTGTGAATCCCAGGAAGCTCCACACATAGTTACAGGACAGAAGACGAAGGTGCACACTGTAAAGCTTCTCTTGTGGTTCACAGGTGTGTAAATAAAAAGCTTTGTCGCCCTCTACAGGACATGGCAGACACCAAACATCCACGGTGAGATCATCACTCCTGAAAATATTTCTCCTGATATGAGCAACGTTTATGTGACTTTTCCCCAGAAATCACTGGCCAATAGAAAGGAGCCAATAGAAAAGAGCCAATAGAAAGGAGCCAATAGAAAGGAGCCAGTAGAAAGGCATTAAAGCAGTGAGAGCCCGGCCCACCCCAGGCTGGATTCTAGTGTCTGGGTTTATCTGCTGCTAGGCTGGTTCTGATGTGGTGAACTTTGTTAAAATCGCTGTTAGTCGTCGTAATTGTTTGACTATCTGGGAGCAGAGGGTGTGGTAGCAGATCCAGATGTTTCCTGTCAAACGAGTGTAAAACATAACTTAAAATGTAAATGACTTGTTTGGTTCATTACCAGGGCTGATGCGGTTGGTTCAGTTGGTTCAGATTGTGCTCAGCAAATACGTGTTTCTGTCATAAGTTTTAATTCGCTGTAGGGCTGAGAATGTCCGCTCGCTTAACTTAAAAACAAGTTTTACTTTATCGTAAAACTTTTAGCTTGTGCAGACGGGAACCGCTAGCTTTGGCTGAGCTCTCTGACCATCCAATCAGAGGACGTGAAAGTGCTGATGTCATCGTAAGGACCACCAACTCTCAATCTGATTGGTTAAAGCGACAGTTTCATTTTAAGCTACAGGCGCACTTTTGACTCTGAAGGCCTCGGGGCAGATTTCTGTGACCCTGGCAGCACATGATGGCTCTGACGCCCACCGCTGACTAAACCTACGTATGCATAGAAAAAACAACCTCGTCTTCACTGGATGAACCTGATAATACGTTTAAAAAGTGTTTTATTTCTAAAAGACTGTTTCATCCTGACGTCACCGTGACTTCATGTCAGGACACTGAATCAACTTCAGAAGCAGTTTCTGAAAATGTTCTTGAACAAAGATTACATTTACATAAACTCTGTACACAACACACATAAATCTACACTGTAAACAGATTTTTAGGAGGTTTTGAGAACTGAGTCTTGTTTAAGAAGTATTCCTGAGATCTAGCTGGTGTTTTAGAGGTGCTCTTAAAACCTGGATCTAGTTTTGGAAGCGTTCTTGAGACCTTAATCTGGTTTTCAGAGGTTTTTTTTTAACATGGCTGGTTTTTTAGAAGTATTTTTGAGATACAAATCTGGTTTTAGGACTATTCTGGAGACCTGAATCTGGTTTTAGGAGCTTTTTAAAGACCTAAATCTAATGGTAGGAGCATTCTTGAGACCCAAATCTGGTTTTGGGAGCATTTTTTAGGCCTTGCTGGTGTTTTAGGAGCATTCTTCAGACATGAGTCTGGTGTTAAAAGTATTCTTGAGACCTGGATGAGGTCTATGACTGTTTTTAAGACCTGAATCCAGCAGTGGAAACATTCTTGAGACATGAATCTGGTTTTAGGAGGATCTTTTAGACCTGGCTGGTGTTTTGGGAGCTTTCTGAATCTGGTTTAAGGATGTTACTGACACCTGAATCTGGTTTGAGTAGGGTCTTGAGACTTTAATCCTGGTCTATGAAAGCTCTGAAGACCTAAATCTGGTTTAGGAGTGTTTTTGAGACCCAAATCTGGTTTTAGCAAGTTCATCAGACTTTAATTTGGTTAAAGGGCGTTTTTGAAACCTGGCTGGTGTTTAAGAAGTGTTCCTGAGAACGGAATCCGGTTTTAGAATCGTTTTTAAGACCTGACTCTCGTGTTAGGCGGATTCTTTAGACCTGAATCTGGTTTTAGGAGGAGATTTTAGACCTGGCTGGTGTTTCGGGAGCTTTCTGAATCTGGTTTTAGGATGTTATTGAGACTTTAATCCTGTTCTAGGAGAGCTCCTGAGGCCTGGATCTGGTTTTAGGGGTGTTTTTGAGACCTGAATCTTGTTGAGACCTGGCTGGTATTTATCAATGCTCTTGAGATCCACTTTAATTTGTACTTTTCTACATCAGTTTAGGTACAAATGCACATTTTCCTAACGTTGTGTCCGTTCCTTTATGAAGTCTGCAGCTGTTTGGATCTGGATCAGGATTTTCCAGCTCTGGATCTGACTGACATTGTCCACATGAGGATTACTGGGTGGGGTCATTTATTTTATGTATTATCTTTGCCATCATTACATGTGCTGAGATGCTTAAAGGAAGATCTGCAGCACATCACCAGATTCAAACATCACAGACGACGTTCATCTAAAACACTGAAGACACTGAATAAAAGCTGCTTCATCTCCATCTTTATTCATTCTTCATCGTGTCCATAATTTGGGATTTTCTCTGATTTTTTTTTCCTACTTAAAGGATCTGTCGCCCTGAATTCCCAGCGACCCATGAAGGCAGCACACGGCACGCAGACGATGCAGCAGGAGGCTCACGTGCGTCCGTGCGGCCGCCATCTTGCTCCGGGCTTCTGCTGGTTCTGACCAAAGATGTGCAATTAGAGTTCTGTGGGTTCTGGTCCGGTCCAGGAGGAAACACCAGAGTTCTGCAGCTTCTGGAGGCTCCAGAGACAGAAAACTAGACAACAAGCAGCTTTAAACTGTGTTTAATAAATCACAGTAAGTACAAATCTGATGAGCTAACTTCACACTGAACTAAACTATATTCTAAATATATATATATAAATTCATATGCAAAATTATATATATATATATATATAGAACAAAACTTCACGTGCAGAAAGAAAAGAATATATAGTTGTAATATAAATCCTTTGGTTCGTTTAGGGGCAGACGACATGTAAATAGTGTAAAACTGAACAGATTTCACTGTGAAGCTTTTTGATTAATTAAAATAAGACAATGATTTTTGTGATACAAGTTTTCTAATAATGTATGTTTAAATATAAAAATGACGTCCATATATATACATAAATATACATATATCTGCCCTTATTGACATGACTTTTCAGAGCAGAACTGTAGAAGCACCTTCCAGATGTCAGTTTGATTTTGCTAAAACACCAGTTAAAGGTTATTATGGGCTGGGTTTTTGCTTTTATTGCTTCATTTGTCAGAAAATATTGTCAACAGCCAGAAAAATACACCACTTTTATTTTATTTTTATTTTTTTAAACTAAATGTTATCTCATAATAATAACTTTTAAAAATATTTTTTACTGGCATAAACGGGCGTCCATAGAATATATGAACAAAATCATCTGTAAAAACTATTTTTAAAAAAATATATGGAAATAGATGTAAGTGCTGCTGAAGTGGAGATTTGTGGCTCAGAATATGAGAAAAAACAGTTTTGAGGAAGCAGCATTTAAAGATATTTATTATAATTACAATAATAGACAATGTGGAGGAAAACGTTTTTATTTTCATTATTATAAATGTGATGGATGAGAAATATCTCAACATTAGAGAATGATTTATAACAGAAAACATGTTTTTTTCCACTAATATCTGCTTTATAATTATTATAAAACTGTTGGTTTCTGTAGAAACAGAAAGAATTTTATTGCTTCATGTTTCAGAAGATTTTGTCAACAGTTAGAAAAAAAACACAAAACTCCACATTTTAAATGAAATGTTTTATAAATCAGGCTGTGGCTGATACAGATAGATATAGATAGATATAGATACAATATCTTCTGTAAAAACTATTAAAAAAAATAGATAAAAATAAACCTGAAGTGCTGCTGAAGTGGAGATTTATGGTTCAGAATATGAGAAAAAAAAACAGTTTATTATAATTAAAATAAACAATGTGGAGGAAAATGTTTTTATTTTCATTATTATAAATGTTATGGATGATAAATATCTCAACATTAAGGAGTGATTTATAGCAAAAGACACGTTTTTCCACTAATATCTGATTTATAATTATTATAAAACTGTAGAAAATTAAAGACTTTTATTGTGACATTTGGATTTTTAATCTAAACAAATCACCTGTTCACGTCTTTCATTCATAACAATCCAGACTGTTTTATATTTTAGTAAAAAATGTGTTTTACTTTTCCGGTGAGCGGACCGGAACCGGCCACCGGAGGCTCCACCGGACCAACATGGCGGCGCCGTGACGCGTCTCTCCGGTGACCAATGCGCTCCGTCGCTGCGTTTCTATGAGCTGCTAACAATAGCCGCGAGTTGACCGGAGCCGAGCAGCAGGCGGAGCCGACGGGGAGCACACTTCACCGAATACATGACACGGAGGCTCCCGGTGGCGGAGAACCGGCTGGGATCGACGTTCGGAACCGGACCCGCGGTGAGTGAGCCTCGTTGTGGGTGAGTCCGGCCGGGGCTCGGCGCGCCGCGGCTCAGCCCGGCGGCGTGAAGGGTTAACGGGGCTGAGCGGGGACGCTTCTCTCCCTCCATCCAGGCATCACCGCCCCGGAGCCTGCAGGCCGTCCAGCCCGCTCACAGCGACCCGAGCCCGGCCACGCAGCGGCGAACCGGCCGGTGATGTGGGTGGAGGGACGGTTTGTGGCTCCAGCGGTCTCCTCCCGGTTGGATCGGACCGGAGCAGCACGGGAGCTTCTCTGGAGGCTGAATGAATGAAATCTGCCATTTTCCACTTTTGCATGTCTGAAATCCACCTTAAAGGGTTCATCAGAGCCGGACCGGACCCACTCCAGTTTGGGTTTTTAGGCTCTTCTGTGGCTGAAAAACTCAAAATTAGACAAATAATCAGGCTTTAGTCCAATTATCCTCATCAGCCAGAGACAGAAACCACAAATCCAATTAACATGAATTCATTTAATCACCCTGGAGCCTCCAGAGCGGCTCTTTGTGCTTTAAATCACCTTAAAGTTCCTTCAGTGATCCACTGTTGGAGCTGGAGCTCAGTTTCCACATGGCTCAGCACAAACCTCACTTCAGCTCAGTCGCTGTTTCTGCAGCAGCAGCTCCAGTCTGTACATCTGCTGCTCTATCGATCCCTCTCAGTCCAGAGCTGCTGCTGCTGCTGCTTCTTTATCAGCATCAGGACGTCGTTTCCTCCCATCATCACATATCGACCTGGACGGGCCTCAGAGGAGCATCGGACCGCAGACCGGCTCCGCTTTCTGGAGTTCTGCAGCTCGTTGTTCTGATGTTAGGAAAGTTTCACCTCCAGTGTTGAGGATCGTAGATGTTTCATGATGTTCTGTAATCTGGTGTCTGAGGGCAGATTAGTCTGATCTGGATCAAAGTCAGAGATTTAAACGCGTCTTTATTTAATCACATCAGAATCAGTTTTATCGTCCTGCAGGCATCAGACTGAACGCTGACAGGAAGGAAAAGACGGACAAAAATATTCAAGTGAAACCAGCAGAAAGTGGATTAAAGACGCAGTAAATAGAAAAGTTTGCAGATTATTCACCTGAGAATGTGAGAAGTTGTTTAAAATTCAATTTAGAAGAACGTCCTCAAAGAAAGTTAATTTGTTGAACCCTTGTTTTTTAGTTTTTATGCACATTAAACTTAAAACCGGTCAGACATTTATCCAGCAGCTCTTCAGACGATCTTTTAAAGCAGAACTGCAGCGTTTCAGGTCAGATTTTCTGCGTTTCTTCAGGAAAACATTTGAAGATGTTGCTTTAAGTTTCTGAAATAAAAGTTTTGAATGAGGACAAACGTAATGAGGATTGAAAAATTGTAGTTTGTGAACATTTTTGTTAAATTACAGATATTAAGTAAAATCACAAAAAATCTAGAAAACATGAATTTAAAAGTTCATATTATTAATTAAAAGTTTTAATTTACATGTTGACTATAAAATGTAAATAATATCCACGTCAGAAATCTGTATTTATTTACAAATGTT